CGTGTCCTTTGAGGACACAACGAATGACAGCTGTCTGTGACCCAGGAAGTGGTTCTCACCAGACACCCAATCTGCAGGGCCTTGACCTGGGACGTCCAGTGTCCAGACTGTGAGAAATAAATTCCTGTTGCTTGTAAGCCCCACGGGACCCCCCACCCGGTCTGTGGCATGAACTCAGACAGCCAAGCAGGCCTGGAGGGACCAGCTCTGCCCTTTGCCTGGACACAGGGTGTTCATTGCTAACGCCCGGTGAGTTGGTCCCGCCTGTGGCCCAGCACACTGGAAGAATGACAGGATCAGAAGAGAGAGGAAAGAAGAAATCTCTTCTCTCCCCCTCCTACAGTCCGGTTTCCCCTGGCGAACTGCTCTGGAAGAAATGGTCAGAAGCCAGCTGACGGAGAAGTGTCATTTGCGGAGTCCCAGCATCAATATGCAGAATATCAAACCACAGTGACGCCACTCGGGGTCCCTGTTCGCAGAGAGAAACTCTGACTCGGTGTTTCTCAAGCAAACAACAAAATAAATTTCATTTCAGGTTTTGTTGGCACATTCAGAGCCAGTCTCGCTCTGAGTCCTGAGAGCCCTCATCTCAGAGTTCGGGTCCCAGGCCTCCAGCTCCTTGTCGAATCCGAGTCATCAGCGCCGATGGACAACGGCCCTTCCTCTGAGGCATGAGGCCAGTCCTTACGGATCTCCTCTGAGCTCCCGCGTCCCCACACCGGACAATCAGTGCTCCATCCTCAGATGTCTTGGCCAATCAGTGCTCCATCCTCAGATGTCTTGGCCACGTCTCATGGCCACGCCGGTGAGTTCCTAGGTTCTGATGACCGTGAGCCCGTCCATTTGCTCCTGTGAGTTGTAGGGGTAGTAAGCTGCTCCCGCCTTTACTATCCAGGGTCAGACACTTTTTTTAAATCCCCTTTTTTTTAATATGTGTTTTTTTAAAAAATTTATTTTTAAAGAGAGAGGAAGGGAGACGGAGAGAGAGAGAGAAACATCCATAAGAAACATCGATCGGCTGCCTCCTGCACGCCCCCTGCTGGGGACCAAGCTTGAAACCTGGGCATGTGCCTTGACTGGGAATCAAACCAGTGACCTCTTGGTTTCTGGGTCGATGCTCATCTGTTGAGCCACACCAGCCGGGCGGGGGTCAGCCTTAACGCGGCCTCGCACTGCCTCTGATCTTCGCACCTGCTCCACCAGACACGCTGCCCCGACCTCACATGCCCCGCGTCGTAGGAGTACATGTAACTTCCTGCGTGTTTGTGGGCACGCACTGGGTCCCACCTGAAGTGCACTTCTCGCTGTGGGTTTGAGCCAACGTACAAGCCACTGCCCCAGGTGGCCGCGAGTGGGAAACGTCAGACAGCCACGGAGGTGGTGAACAGCGCGGGCGTGGAACACGGGGCGCCCTGCGGCGCAGCAGTCATCGCTGTCACTCCACTCTCGGCCCGTCTGTGTTTTTTACAGAGAAGTTCTCTAGAAAGAACTCTGAGCCTCCAAATGCTTATTGAAATATATTACTCAGGAAATTTCCTGTGTGGATCAGAGTCTCACGTCTCTTCCGAGGGGAAGTCCTCAGCTCCACTCCCCAGGCTTCACCCGGGTGACGGGCCAATGGCCACTTCCGCCCACGGCCAGTAGGTGGCGACAACAGCTGTGGTCTCTGTGGAAAGACACTGTTGGGGGGGGGCTTTGGGACCCCCTTTCCACGAATCATGTGCTTTATCACCCCCCCACCCCAAAGCAGCCCCAGACTCTGCCTCTTCTAGCGCTTCTTCTACAGCCAGGAGTAAAAATGCCCCGGAACCCGTCCAGTGAAACTGGTGAGTGTGGGACCAGGGACCCCAGGCCCGGCCAAGCTGGAGGAGCTGTGCCTTAAGGTGCGGCTCCAGGACCTCAGCCCCGGGAGAGGGCTGCTAGGCCACACTGCTCTGAGTAAGCAGGGTTAGAGCCCAGCCGAGGGGCTGTGGGCCGTGACACGCACCCGAGGGGCGTTCCCAGGACCTGCAGGCCTCACGCGGCCCCGTTCTGAACCTTGTCTCCTTCTGGGCCCTTGAGGCGCCTCTGTGCCCACGGCTTCCTCTCTGCCCTGCCGGCTCCCTTCCCTGCTCCTGTTTGTGTTATTTCCCGGATCTGATCACAGCAGGGAGCGGAGTCT